CCGCAGTGGGGACTTCCCTCGGGGGGCCAGCCAAGGCACCGGGAGCAGACGAGGGACTCAGTGGGGACCATGCTCACAGGGTTGTGATGCTGCGGTTTTCCCAGGAGCAGCTGGCTGTGCCTCACAGCGAGGCATGGAACAGTGTGCTGTTCTGTGTGCTGCACCCTTGCAGAGTTGTGGGCTGTGGCCTGGGCCCCTGGGGCCCTGGCTGGTTCCAGCCGGTATCTACCCTTCCCCCCTGGTCCGGACGTGAGTGAGCAGCACAGTCCCAGGTGTGCCCTGGAGCTGCCTGCCGTGGCTATGTGCCACTCGGTCACCAGGCTGCACATGGCTGCACGTGCTGCATACTGCTAATGCTACACAGCGTGCAGCTCGCGCTGCCTAAGTGACGCTCCCTTCCCCTCCTGCCCCCTCGGGTGCCTGGCTCCTTCCCACCCTTGTGAGTCCAAAGTGCAACACTCACCACTGGATCCTTCCCCGGCCTCCAAGGATGCATGGGAGACATTGGGGCTCTTGGAGAAGACCTCGAGCTGCAGTGTCACGCTGCTGCCCTGGTCATCCTCCTCATCTGATGGCTCGTCTTCCTCCCCCGCCTCCCTGGGCCTGGTGACGGAGGGGCGCCTGCTCGTGTCCACGGGTACAGATGGTCCGTGGGGTGCTGCCTGGCCCAGGATGCAGTGGAGCCGCTGGTAGTGGGGGCAGCTGTCAGCTCCTGCCCCCTGGCCCTCGCTGGCCCGGACATAGCCCAGGTGCAGCTCTTTTACCTTAGCTCCGACCTGCTCGAGGGTCCGGGCTGGATGTCCCTGGTGTGAGAGTGACTGCTTTTGCGCAAAATCTTGCCAATGTAGACACAACCTTATTGTTTTGCACATGGTTGGGGAGTTGGAAACACTGTCAAGTTTAATCAGCTCTGCTCAGGAAGCTTGATCCACCCACAACTACATTAGATATAAAATATTAGACTTGTAAGCCACATTTTACTATTCCTGGCCAAACTCACCCTTCTGAGGCATCAACCATCTGAAATATGGAAGATCTTTTGATTTTATTTGAAGCAGGCTGTGGAGGGCTGAACAGTCCCCAAGCCGCTCATTTAAGCAAATATAATATGCACTTCTGAATGTATTTTAGAAGATAGATGTAGATTTATACAGAGATATGAAGTAAATATATTCATGTAAAAATGAATGATGAATTTATAACAATGAATCTAAAAATGTCTGCCAAATACTATGTAATTTATAGCTGACCATAAGAACTTTAATATGTTTTGCATGAAGAAGGTAAAAATAGGCCTGAGAGGTGTGGCTTTAAATGTCAGATAAAATCTCCTCCATTTATGAATTAGACTGTAAAACAGTGTAATTGTTAACTTCAGTGGAGTTTCACTTGCTTATAGCAGGTCTGAATTTAGCCATAAATGGCCCAAAGGATTAAATGAGTTTTTTGCTCTGTTGCTGTTTTATGATTATCTTTCTTACTTGCATAGACTGTGCTTTTACCAAAAAAGGCAGTAAGTTCTAGTGAATTAAGCCTGAGGTTCTATCCCGGCTGTGCCTCCAGCTCCTTGTCTGGTCTCAAAAAAGTAATGTTGTGCATTTGTGACTCTGTATCTCAACTTGTGAAATTGGGATATTAATATTTCCTTTTCGTACAGGTGCTTGTGAAATTGAATTAGTTTGTATAACACCACTGAAAAGATTGTGGTATTATAGACATAGTTTAAGAGGGTTTTAATTGTTTGTGAGTAATACTGTTGGAATAATAAACATGTACGATTTTAAAAATGGATGTTAAACAATTGGATTCCTAACCTGAAATTAGCATGTTACATTTGGAGAATACCCAACTAATGTTATATACTTCATTAGGACACAGATTCAAGAAGGCCATGAGCACTGGTTGAAAGGGGTGGGCTGGGAATCCATAGCCTGTAGGGATATCTCTATATTTGGTAGCAGAAAGACTTTACATTGGTATGGGTTTTTTCATAAAATAATTGGCTGCAAAACGAAGCTGTGTATTTTAGCATAGTTTGGCTTTTTTTAAACTTTAATGAGCTTGAGGATTCAGCATTGAACATTTTGTTAACTTTATGCTCTGCAAATTATTCTAACTAGTATCACATTTTATTACAGAATTTTTGCCACAAATATTATATAATAGCCCTTACAAAAACACTGCTCTAAAATCTTTATAATTAAACACAGGATAAAGAGTCAAATACTAGTAACAGATATGTAATAATCTCTGAAGATAAACATAAATCTCCTCAGTACTAATTCATTCCACTGACTGTTCTAAGGGAAAATAAGGAATCTCTCTTCTTTTCTCTTTTTTAAGCTAGACAGCTGCACTTTGAACATATTTTGTTTTTCACACTGTCTCTTTTGAGGTGTTTGTAATGCAGTGTGATTAACTGGAAATTGGATCAGTCTGTTTTCAGTGGAAGGAATCTTTTAATACTGAGGGAGAAACTTTTTATGAGGAAAGCTTTTAAATTCCTGGCACATGAGTATGATTCTTCAGAGCATGCTTGCTCATTTGTTTGGTGTATATACTGGAAGCATCCTTTTGAATTTCCTAGATACCAAGGACTCACTTCACAAAGTGAAGGACAACAGAGAAATTATTTACATGAGTGTAAAGAGGATATAAAATGCTGTTGATTCAGAATGGTAGCATCGTATCCTTGCTTAATAGTAGTGTAAATTAATATACAAAATACAGGGCAACGGAGAATCAGGCCCTAAAGATGCTCAATAACATGCAGTCAGGGCTAGATATTTGTGGTCACTGAGGTGCTATGCAGCAGGGCTCTTCAGAACCAGAATCAGATGGTTTAAGTGTGGTGCTGTGGGGGGGAGGGGAGGAGTAGAGGATCCTTTTACACATCTACGGAACGTCTAGACAGCTGTGTTATTTCAGAATAACTGACAATATTTCAAAATGCCATAGTGACCATCTACCCAGCAAGACATTATTTTGAAATAATATCAAGATGGAGGACTTCTTACTCCAACTCCTGTAACCCTCTTTTCACAAGGAGCAAGGGAAGTCGAAGGAAGAATGTTCTTCCTTCGACTTCCTGCTGTTTAGACAGCTTAATTCAGATTTTGGTGCTAATTCAACTTCAGCTACGCAATTGACATAGCTGAAATTCATATCTTAATTTGATTTTCCCTCCTGCGCCTCTCCCTTTGAAATGGACAAGAGCTGCATGTGGCTCTTGTACATTTCAAAGGGAGAGGAACAGCAGCAGGGGACCCAGTGCCAGCGGGACTGCTTCGGTCCCTGCTTGCACAGGTTCCTCACTGCCCCTCTGCCTCCCCTGCCCCACTGCAGAGACAGTGCTCCCCTCCCGCCTTTGGTGTGTCTGTTACAGAGGCAGCAAGGCAGGGGAAGCGACTAGTTGTTTACATCTCTAGTTTCTGGGCACCTCATGATCTTTTTAACATATTTATCCTCACAGAACCTCTGTGAGATAAAGAACTTAAGTGGAGGCACTGAGAGGTTAAATGATGGGTCTGAGACCTACTGTGTAGTCTGTGATATAGCAGGGAATCTAGCTCAGGACTCTGGGGTTCCTTGCTAACATCTTGACCACCTAGAGGGTCTTGAGGTTATGTTCAGGGGTCCATTGTACACGTTTTGTGTGGGGACTAGGTAAGGCAGTCTTTCCACTGTTGAGGGAGGTTTGTCTGTTCCCAAGGGTGGGAAGATCCCATCCCTCTGAGGAGACTAGTAAAAATAGATTCACAGCCAGGGGACTTTAATCACAACATTTGTGTTTTTCACATGTGGAGGAAATGAGAAATCCCGAGTTGGGGACCCTATTATTGGTGAGCTGCCCTTTCCCAAAAGACCAAGGCTGGGGATGAACTAAGATAAAAAGTTACTTCGGGAAAAAATGACTTTGAAATTTCAAATGTTTTTCCTTATTTGGCCAGCTGTAGTTTTTGGTAGTATCATCTGAGCAAGGAAGAGAGTAAGCAACTTAAGCTCAGTCAGCAGATGGGTCAAAGAAAAATAGTGAGGATAGTGTGACAGGGTGGGGACAGAGATGAAGGTTTAAGGTGGGAGTGATGGGAGGTAGCTTTGGCAAAGTAAGTGCTCAGTCAATTAGTGAAATACAGAACAGAAATCACATGATGCAAAATGGGAAATTGAAATGGTAACTAAATGAGGCAAGTAAATCAAATGACAAATCAGGCTGGGGCTAAAGTGCTGTGTGTATTGGATAATAAAACAGTTTGCAGTAAAGTAAAGGAACTCTTTCCAAAGGACATGCTTTATTTGCTCCCTTAGGATTTATTGAGCTACTTGGAAATCAATGAGAGTGTTCTCTATGAACTTCAACAAGAGCAGGATTTGGGTCTTGTTATCTTGGTAAATCACTTCCTCTAGACTAGACAATAGGGGCATCCAGGTCATTTGTTAGAGTGCTAGTCTTAGAATGATGTGGCTGGCAGTTGTGTTATGCTTATTGTATTACCTGGAAAATAAAGCTATCTTCCTCCAGAGCGCATCCCATCTATATCTCAGATATATTCTGCCTGGAAAATCAGAACTGACGGTCAGAAGTGCAGGCTATTGATCATACTTACCTTGGCCCATTGCTAGGTGCTAAACCTTGAACAATAGAGATACTTCATATTACCTGAGTGTATAATTTATTCTTACCTGCCATTTTACCTTTACTATCTATTGCTGTAGATCCCAGAGAATGATCTTCTGAGTTCTGGTTCCATGATGATTCATGTCAGGGAGCTCTAATATCACAGAGGATCGCTCTGCAGGCATTACCTCAGAGCCGTTTTTTTTTCAGGTCCTTTACCAAATCCAGTAAAACATTTAGGTTAAACATTTCATACCAAATACAATGAAGGTGTAATGGTGTCATTCTGGTTTGTGATCCATACATGCAGACAATTCACAGATATAAAAGTTGAACCAATTGTTCTAAATACCTTATACTAATCATGGCTTTCTTGTTTCAGAGGTGTTGTCAAAGTTGACATAAATCTGCAGAAAGTGGATATTGACCAGTGTTCAAGTGAGGGATGGTTTTCAGGAACTCACAAATGCCATCTCAACAATTCCGAGGTAAGAATATTAGAGAATTGTAAAACTATAATAGTCAAAACTATCTTTCCATCATGTAACACTTTGACTGTGTGTTGTGTTGTTTACTATTTTTCTTTGCAGGCAGTATGTGTTGTAAAGGGTTTTCTGTGCCTCAAGGTATTACACTTAAACCTCCATGCTGGGGGTGTCCTTTATCCAGAAACACCTGTGGTACAGAGGAGGATGTGGCTCTGCACGTTGCCATTCCCTCTCCCCACCAGTTGGGAGAACGGCAGCATGCAAAACCACTTTCCCTTGCCACTTCCATACCAGCAGGGGAGCACGGAGCCACATATGCCTCTGGAGTGGGGCAGCAGGTAAGTGCCCCATCTCCTCATGCTCAGGCCACACAATGCCTTCCCTAACCTGGTAAACTCAGGATTGAGGATTAAAGAGGTTTAAGTGTATGGTAGTATAAGAATAGTAGGAATATGAGCACAACATAAAACTGAATCTCCCTTATTGTTCAGACATAACAGTGTTTGCACTGATGATCTTCTTTGCTGCTATGGCTTATGAAGTTCTGCTTGAGAATCAAACAATAGGCATCACTTTATACAATGTCTTAGAATAGCCATGCAAGGAAAGTGTATTACTTTTGACTGGGCAGTCCCCCCCTTTCTTTTGTATATGCATTTGGAAGCTTAATATGCACTAAGAGGGAAAATTTGTAATTTTTTCTTTGAAAACAGAAATGATAACAATTTGACAGAACTGAATAAATATTTCAGTGTTCTACTTCTTCCTGTATCACTTCTCTCCCTCCTCAGTCCCTCTCCCTCAAGGGTCTGTGATCGGTTCAGCTTGTAGCTACATCATAGTTCATCCAAAGTGGACAATCACCCGTACACAATGAGACTTTGAAACTGGAATACTGAGCATTATATTCTTGGCTTATTATTGGATTATTTATATGGGGGGGATACAGATTGGAATCTTGTCTCATTCCCCTTTACTTTCAATTGGAATTGGGTACCCAACTACTTTTTCTATATTTTGGGGAGTTTTTCAGTAGTTATTAAAAAAATATATTTTCCGTGTTCTAGCACAGAGTCCTTTCTTAGCTTCTTCTGTTCTTCCTTGGGACAGATTCTTCCCTCCCACCAAAGTTTAACTTGTATGTTTTAATTTAACTTGCTTCATCTCATATATTTTTAAACATATTTAATTAGCATAACAACAAACCTTTAGGCACAATTTTATGCCTAAGCAGCAAATAGAAAGTTCCTCTATGGAGGATTTGGAGAATGTAGAAAAGACTAAGAGGAAATAGTAGGAAGAAATTTAGTATAAGAAGTTGGTCAATTCTTCACCTCAGTATCCTAGTCCGATGATTTTAGGGGCATTTTTGTGCAATCAATTATCAATAAGATTATTTTATTAGGCTTCGTAATATCCCATGAGCTGTTTAAGTACTTTTATCAAACTCATTGCCATAGTATTTGAATACTCTTAGTCCTATTACTCATGTAGAGATCATATAATTCAGAGTGTATGATCTGGTCTAGTCTTGTGCATAACAGACAGAATTGTTTAGTAAATTCCAGTCATTTGAAAGTGTTGAAATCCAGCCTGTACTGTAGGTTGCTTTAAGCCTGATCCAAAGCCCATTTAAATTAATGAGAGTTTCTCTTCATTGACTTAGTTGGATTTGGATCAGAGTTGAAGGGTATGGTTTAGAAATCACAGATCCTCTAAAATATCTTATGCTGGCCACTTCAGGCACTGGAATTGGTGGACCATTGGCATTATCTAGTAGGCAACTTTTACGGTTCTATTCTGTTTACTGTGTACTTAATCTCTAAATGTAAAAGAGACCCCTCCTCCCCCACCCCATTCTCTGGCCCACTCTCTTTAAACTATGGCAACGTGCCACTTGTTTCTGTAGAACAAGCAAACCTGGTATATAGAGAAACAAATTTTCAAACATATGAAGAACTTTTAATGCAAATATTGTACCTCAAGGGACATAACTGAACTTTGGCTAAAATTTTTTTGGATGGTTAGTTAAACAAGATTATACTGCTGTGAAATTACTGGCAATGACCCTTCCACAGCAAAATCTGATTATTTCAAATCTCATAAATATCTGTTAGTGACACTTTTCTATCAATAACAAACTCTCAGGGTCCATCTACACAGCAGCGTTATTTCAGAATAACAAACGTTATTCTGAAATAACATAGCACATGTCTACACTGCAAGCTTTTACCGTAATTTGGAAATAATGTGGATCTGGAGGACTTCTTACTCTGACTCATGGTAATGCCCATTTCACAAGGAGTAAGGGAAGTCCATTTCCTGCCTAGTTAAGCTATTTTCAACTTAAGCTACACAATTGACGTATCTGAAGTTGCATAGCTTAATTTGACTTTAGCCCTGCTGTGTAGACGTACCCTCAGGGACTTCTCTACTTGCCATTACAGTGTCGGTCACTCTGTCTTGTTGTTTCATTCTGGGCTTTTTGGATAGACTCTTCAGTCTAAGATGCCATTCTTCCTTTGCTGTTGCTACTTTTGCAGCTGCTGCAGTCTTTCTCATAGCACTTCTCATAGAATCACAGAATTCTAGGGCTGGCAGAGACCTCAAGAGGTCCTCAAGTCCAGCCCTCTGCCCAGAGCAAGACCAGCCCCAACTAAATCACACCAGGCAGGGCTTTGTTAAGGTGGGATTTACAAACCTCTAGGGATGGAGATTCCACCACCTCCCTAGGTAACCTGTTCCAGTGCTTCACCACCCTCCCAGTGAAATAGTTTTTCCTAGTATCCAACCTAGACCTCCCCCACTGTAACTTGAGACCATTGCTCCTTGTTCTGCCACCTGACACTACTGAGAACAGCTTCTCTCCATCCTCTTTGGAACCTTCCTTCAGGAAGCTGTAGGTTGCTATCAGATCCCCTTCCCCCTTCTCTTCTGAAGACTAAACAAGCCCTAATCCCTTAATTTTTCCTCGTAGGTTATGTGCTCCAGCTCCCTAATCATTTTTGTTGCCTTCTACTGGACCCTCTCCAATGCACTCACATTCTTTCTGTAGTGGGGTCCCCAGAATCGGATGCAGTACTCCATATGTGGCCTCACCAGTATCGAATAAAGGGGAATAATCACTTATCTAGATCTGCAGGAAATGCTCCTTCTAATGCAACCTAATATGCCGTTATCCTTCTTGACTATAAGGGCACACTGTTGACTCATATCCACCTTGCTATCCACTGTAATCCCCAGGTCCTTTTCTGCTGAACTGCTACTTAGGCAGTCAGTCTCCCAGCCTGTAACAATGCTTGGGATTCTTCCGTCCCAAGTGCAGGACTCTGCACTTGTCCTTGTTGAACCTCATCAGATTTCTTTTGGCCCAATCCTCTAATCTGTCTAGGTCACTCTGGGCCCTATTCCTACCGTCCAATGTATCTACCTTTCCCCCTAGCTTAGTGTCATCCATAAACTTATGATTACCTGCCCTGTGGGCAGGTGGCGTATGTGTGCATCCGGTGCAAGGAGCTCCTGACCCTCACAGACCGAGTTTGGGCTTTGGAGGCCTGGGGGGCTGAACTGGAGAAGCTAAGGGAGGCAGAGAAGTATATTGATGAAGCTTTCCGGGACACTGTAGTACTGTCCCACCTCCAGTCTGAGAGCCCCAGCGCTGTTAAGGAGGATGAAAGGCTTAGGGGAAGAGAGCAGTCAATGAGAGCAGAGGGAAGCCATCCCATAGTTGGGATCCTTCCAAAGGATGTTATGGTATCCTCTCACACTGAGGATACCTCTCCGGGAGAGGGAATGTCAGTTGTTAGGAAGAGGCAGGTGTTAGTAGTGGGTGATTCGATTGTTAGAAACATAGATGGGTTTGTGATGACCAGGAGAACCGTATGGTGACTTGCCTGCCTGGTGCGAAGGTTGCAGATCTTTCGAGGCATCTAGATAGACTTATGTGTAGTGCTGGGGAGGAGCCGGTGGTCATGGTACATGTAGGTACCAATGACATAGGGAAGGGTAGGAGACATGTCCTGGAGGCCAAATTTAGGCTGCTAGGAAAGAGACTGAAATCCAGGACCTCCATGGTGGCATTCTCAGAAATGCTTCCTGTTCCATGCGCAGGGCCAGGTAGGCAGCAGAACTTCAGAATCTCAATGCGTGGATGAGACGATGGTGTAGGGAGGAGGGGTTTAGATTTATTATGAACTGGAGACACTTTTGGGATAGGGGGAGCCTATACAGGAAGGATGGGCTCCACCTAAACCAAGGTAGATCCAGATTGCAGTCACTAAACATTAAAAAGGTCATAGAGCAGTTTTTAAACTGAGAGATGGGGGAAAGCCGATTAGTGTGAAGGAGCACATAGATCGGATGGAGACTTCTCTTAGAGGAGAGTCCACTGATGGAGATTCTCTACGTTTTAGTCAGAAAGAGAGAAGGGGAGATGATAAAGTATGGGCCACATCAGACAAGAAAAAATCACATATACAAGAATCTAATACATCAGGGAAGGGCAGACAAATAAACAGTGGCAGTTTTTTAAAGTGCTTCTACACAAATGCTAGAAGTCTAAATAATAAAATGAGTGAACTAGAGTACCTCGTATTAAAGGAGGAGATTAACAAAACCTGGTGGAATGAGGACAATCATACCGGGACAATTATACCAGGATAAAAAAAATATATTGAAAGGACAGAATAGGTCGTGCGGGTGGCAGAGTGGCACTATATGTGAAAGATAATATAGAATCAAATGAAGTAAAAATCTTAAATGAATCAACATGTTCCATGGAATCACTGTGGATAGTAATTCCATACTCTAATAAGAGTATAGCAGTAGGGATATATTATCAACCACCTGACCAGTACAGTGATAGTGATGTTGAAATGCTAAGGGAGATTAGAGAGGCTATCAAAATAAAAAAACTCAATAATAATGTGGGGTTTACAGATGATTTCCTTAATTACTTGCTCCATTATCTTCCCTGGCACAGAAGTTAAACTAATCGGTCT